CAAGCAACTATTTAATGTATACATAAATCTTAAATTGGAATAATTGTGGAGTACTTTTCGCTTTCCCCTTGCTAATACACAGAGCCACCGTGTCAGGATTTTGGCAGTGAACCCAATATGGCTGCACCATTTTTTCGAGCCTCCGGGAAGGCTCAGCTTCCGTTTCCCACACGCATACACACATTTCTATACACACAGATACACAGAGTGAAAAATACAGAAAGAGAGAGTAAGAAAGAGCCAGAGAGAGCGAGAGAGTGAGAGAGAGTGGTGTAAGGGAAGGGAAGGGACACTCGAGTGAGCTCGAAACGCCAAGCACCGCGCACAACGCAATTAGCCCCACAATGGACGAGCGCGTCGAGTGAGTGCCCCGGCAGAACGTCGCCAACAGGTAGCCACCGTCAGTCAGTAGTTACTGCCACCGTCCAGCATCAACCAACCCCCACCCCAAACCCAAACCCAACACCATCCCAGTGGCAGGCCAACGTGCCACACACTCGGGCAGCACTTAAAATTTAAAGCGTTTCGAGTGTAATTGCGCCTTTGCCGTTAACGAGCCGCTTGTTTAAGTCCTGCGATGCACAAAAAAAGAAGGGAAAATGAAAATAAAATGCTTTCAATAGAGAAAAGAAATATTGGGCACTCAGTTTGGACTCAGATGGCGGCAGGCTGCGGCTTCTTTTGATACGGTATTTGCGGGTACTCCTTTTGCTACCCTGCTATACGCATAAAAGATGTTGGGACTGAGTTCCGCTTAATCAGCTATAAGTGGAATAAAGTGCATCGGATCAGGGCCCGCATCCTTTGGGGTCGTTGAGGCTTCACCTGGCTAAAGGTGACCATCAGGTTGGCCATTATGGTCCGCTCGCAGGCTTGGTCCTGACGCTGCTTTTGTTGATGCCGTTGCTGCTGCTGTTCTTTTCTGGGCATTAATTAACATTTCAATGGGTGGACCACCGCAGTGGAAGAATAATTTCATTGCATTAAACAGAACGACCTTAAAGTGGTGGGCAAGGCGTGCAGGCCATGTGCAGGGCAAAAGGGAATGAAGGAAGGCAGGCGCCTCTCTGTGCATAATTCAACAATTTGGCTTTTAATTTTTTTTTTTGGGCTGAACACGACCTTGCGCAGAGGAGGAGTAGGAAGCTAAGGCCGGGTGGTATGAAAATTGGCGCATGCAAGCCAGAAATGTGCAAGTTCAACGGAAACGGAAATTAAAGCACGAAGCCAGAAGCAGCTCCGGCCTTTCGCTGTCTCCTTCTGACCCGCTCTGGATGTCTCTTTCTGTGCATATGTATGTATGTATGTGTGTTCTTTTGTGAGTGTACTGAGTAATTCACAGTTATTTCACATATGAAAGCCACAGGCTAAATGAAAGAGGGAAAATAGGTAAGTACTACAAGGTCTGACTCTTTGATACTCGTATAAAAAGATAGGTGGATGCACAGAGAAGGATTGCGGGAGATATGGACCTGTGCGAATTAGTCACAAATTGGCCTGGCTAATTGACATCTGGCCACATCAGAGCCCCGAGCCATTGGTCAGTTAGCAAAGTGGCTACAGGAGCCGCAGCCTAAACAAACAGAATATGCCGCAAAACATCCGCCACAGTTCTAAAAAAAAAAAAAAAACACAAACACAATGTGCAGCAGCATCAAAGGGTGCAAATTGAAAGCAAACAATGTTTATTTATACTGAATAAACAAGGGTCTCGTCCCTTGTCCAAAGGATATCTAAGGGGATGACACAGAGATCAGCCTAATCGGAAGATTTTTTGAGACTTCAGACTTGTGGAGCTGACTGATTGGCAGATTGATGGATGCATAGGTCGAGTGGAGTGAAGTGGAGTGAAGGCGAGACACATTTTTCATAGCCCAAGAATTATCCCGCACAGTAATTAATATTTACCTCTCTCATTGTTTGGCCTTTTCCCTGCCTCCCGTTTGGCTTTCCACTCTGGTGAGTTTTCCCTCAACGCCTTTTTACTTTTTTTCTCAACTTACAAATTACGCACTAATTAAGCAGCTTTCTCCTGCTGCTGAGGGGCCGCGCCCATTTTTCAAAGTCATTCGCGCACTCGTTGTGTCATGGTCGGGGGACGGGGAACGGGGTACTTGGACTTGGGTCAGCTCTGTCTGGATCAGCATCCTCGTCCACATTCTCTGAATAAGAATCAGTCTCACCTCAGTCAGAGAACTGGCAGCGCATTAAGCGGCAAAAGTTAATGTGCATAATTAATTCGCTTTTGCACTTTGCCGAGCCCTCATTTTGTTTGTAGCGGCTTTCTTTTGTTTATCTCCCTCTCTCCTTCTCTCGCTCACTTTTTCTCTACTTCTCGTCCCTCGCATAAATCAAATGGAAATGAAGAAAGTCGACAATATTCAAGATTAGCGGCAGCTATTCCTATTCCCACCGAACAAATTATTCATCATTCGCCGGGCGTAACATTTTTTAATTGACTACGAAATGAAATCGGGCTATTCTTTGTTGCTGCGTCTGGTGTGTTGTCTTTGGCCACACGCACACCTGCCAGAAGGAGCCCTGCCTCAGGGACGGTGAACGGGAGCTCCGTAAGCTGCAAATTCAATTGGCATAACATCATGCACAATAAACAACTTCATTTGCAATATTTACTACCAGATAATTGAATGGCTTTCACCAGAAGGCGGAAAAGAAAGCGACAAAAGTCGGAGGCAGGAGGCAGGAGGATGGCAGGCAGGCAGTGCCATCCATCGAGAGAAGCAGATGAGGCGGGGCAGCAGCATCCATCCCCTGTTCACATGTGCGACGAGTCGTCTAACATGCAAATGCCAAATTCAATAAACCCAATGGCAGGCAACAAATAGACCAAATTATTACACAGCCGCACGCACAAACACACGTGGCTCACTGAGGAGGCAGTTGGGTTTTAGGGGCTGGCATTAACGTATACCGACCCCCCATTGAGTGAAGCCGCAGAGCTACTTAGGAGCTTCGACGGGCACAAAAAAATGAACCCCACGTTGCGGAAAGCCAGAATTTTGCGACTTAAATTGAACGACAAAAGTGCGTGCAATTGGCAGCCATATTGCGATACTCCCACTCTGAAACCCAAACCCTAACCATAACCCATCTCTCCGGGAACCCTCCGTTGGTTGAGTGGAATGTACTTCTACTTATTGCGGCCATAAGTAACTGGGGTCACATGCGTGATATGAGTGTAAGCCAAAATAGAAATGGAAACCCCCGAAGAAGTTTTCTCGCAAAGTATCGCCCTTTAAAGCTGCATTCCCCCAGGGGAATAGGGCATTCATCCCTGGCAGATCTATCTAGATACAGTGCCCCTCCAAGTACATTTACAAATCAACGTGCAGCATCTATTTTTCACTTTAAACTAGCATTTATTTTCGTTATGCTCGTACTCTTAGTGTGTGTCTCTTTTTCCTGGCATTTCTTTACATTTCTTTGTGGTGATTGCCTTTCTTTTGTTACTGTTCTGCCAGGGGATGTGGCTAAAACAGGGGATGGGGACCATTAATAAATTTCTCAGCTGGGAATTAACATTTACAGTTAGCTGGCCGAGCAGAACTTCAATTGCGTGGCATTTATCAACGGTGTGGGCCACTCGGACCAACGTCGTCATCGCCTGTTTAAGCATCGCCCAGGGAATTGATGTCCGTACTGGGATTTGCCGTGGCACACCCCCCTCTTTCGCGCTCACTTCGTCACTGTGTGCGGTTTGAGATATTTTGATTTTTATGCTGAATAAGTATGGTTCATGCATAAGTATGTATGCATATGTGCGAGCATGTATGTATATATATAAGAGTGGGTGTCCAGAGTGGGGACGGCGCTGGCGGGGCAAAAGCTCTGTGGGCATTCCAGCCACACCACACTGTTTGGGTTCCAGCTACGCAAGCTGTTGCCCTCGCTCTTTCCCCCGGTGACGCGCTCTCGCGCGCTGATACTCGCCACGCTCCCGCTGCCGACAGCCACACAGCTTAGATACCTAGATACTTTTACTTTTAATCTAATCCGCTTCTACAACCATAAGCAAACGGCCGGATTTTGAATAACCAGAATAAACTGAAATATACATTGAAGAACTTGGACCCTGCATCTTTTATCTTGGGACCGGACCTTATCTGTGGGACCCCCCTAAGAAGCCCTCCTGCTAAAACAGTGGGTATCAAGAGTCGGTGATCCAGGGCTTTTTAAAGCTCTTTGAATTTTTTGACTGCGGTCGCCGATGCTGACGCAAACACTGTTGTTGCAACTCATAAATAATTCAAATAATTTACACGCTTACTTAAACGTTTCGCAGCTCTTGTGTGTGTGTGTGTGTGTGGAAGAGTGCCGCTCTGTTTGTGTGTGGGTGTGGGTACGCCGCATTATGTGGTTCATTGGTTTGGGCCAAAAACTGCAGCCAGCCACCAGAGCAATCAACTACGTCCGTTGCTGATGCCGTTGCTTCTGCTCCTCATGCTCCTCCTGCTTCTCCTGCTCCTTCTCCTCCTTCAGTTAACTAAACTGAACTCGACTAAACTTTTCACTATAGACATACACGCACACACAGTAGCACTAACACCATCACCATATACTACATACATAGATACATATTCGTGTTGTGTATATATATAGGTATGTATGTTTGTATGCATGTATAGGACTCTTGGTGGTTACTGTGGTTTGCATTTTCATATCGCTCTCTATAATATTTTACAACAAAATTCTGTTGGCTTTTGTTGTTATTTTTGTGCTGCCACATATAAAAAGGCGAAGCTGCTGCATTTTATGTTGTCACGTTGGGCATTAAGTGCCCCAAAGGGGGGTAAAAGAACATGCACATGTATAGGGATACGTCGCAGATGCATATGTATACGTAGATACTAATACTCTCACCAGTTTATGGCTAATGCAAACAAAGACAGAGACAGAGAGAGAGAGAGAGAAGAACTGAATATTTTTTTTCTTTCTCAAATTTGTTGTTTGTTTTTAATTTTTGATTTTGCAAATTTTAGAGCATAGCTACAAGTACTGCGAGTACTCCAATCTGGATACATATGCTTGTGCATATGTGATTTATGACCCTAAGGGGGATTTCAGTAAGCGATAACACAGTTCCATGGAACTGGAGGTCCAGTGCGCGTGCCGTCTCTCCGTTCAGTCATTTCCGAGCTGTCGGGGCGAACGTTGCCCAAGATGGATTCTGTTTATGTAAAGTTTCTGATGTGCCAGTGCCTGGTGAATCGGGCCGACTGGGGTCTGACCATTGGCTTCATAAATGTGCTATATTCCCTCTATATGTTTCATTTCTGGGTACTGGAGCTTTTCATGTCACAACAGGGTAAGCACATGCACAGATTCAACCGAAAAACTGATGCATAAATAATTTCCAGACTACACCGTCAAGTGGCTGCTGCTGTATGGCTTCAATGTCATGTTCAATGTGATCACCATGATGCGTATCGTGAAGCGGGAGAGTATAGCCGTATTCTACTGGATCTGCGAGACGGCGGCCCTGCTCCTGTTCCACCTCTACTACACCTATGCCTGTGGAGAATTCTTCGGTCAGATAGACAACAGCATGTTCGTGGTCCTCAATGTTACACTGGATGGTTAGTTGGATCGCTGGTACTCTCTCGTTACTGTATTTATTTTGCTCTAATTTCAGTTTACATACTTCTTTCGCTACTGGTCATGATCTATGTGATGTGGGGCCTGTATTTGGAGCCTGATCGACGGTTTCCCAAGGAATTAATGCGAAACAATTACAAGTATGATCCGGAGGCGGCGGCAGCAAAAAAAGCTGCTGAGGATAAGAAGGATAGACTGCAGAGGCAAAGGGAGCGCGAGGTGGAAAGAGAAACGAAACTGGAAAAAGAGAATTTCAATGAGGAGATGGAAATGGAGGAGACTATATCAACGAATGACTATGGCCAAGAGGAGAATCTGTGCTGTGCCGCAAGCGACACAGAACAGTTGACACTCTTCTCGGATCTCACGGTTGACCATCTTTGTAGCCCAAGCGTCCGTGAAGAGTGCAGGGTTTTCCTGGATGACAATGACACCAATGATTACGATAATTATATTGAAATATCCTTCGAAGAATAGATAGTAAGAAGTAGCTGTAGTCCAAAATATCGTAGTGCGTAGGCGGGTTCCATTACCGAAATAACATAAACAATCCAAATGAAAGTAAAGTAAATTTTTACTTGACCCGAAAACGAGTCCGGCCGCAACTTTGGTCAAAGTCGGCAACAAAACCCCAAACTAAATAACAAACAAACAAAAAAAAAAACAACAACTTGACTTAACTTTGGTGAAGAGTGAAGAGTGGATAGTGGGGTTCTGGGTTGGTTTTGTTTGAAAAGGGATTACGATCAAAGCGTTCGATTGAGTGTGTCAATAAATTCCTGCCAGTCGACCGACTGTAGAACATTTGTCCAGCATCAGCGATAAATAGTTGCCACACACTCGCCCTTGTCTCTCGGGAAAGAGGGATCCGATCCCTTTTGGCCAAAAAGTTTCGTGTGAATTTAGTGCGGCTCATTAAGCCGGACAGTGTCAGTCATGTGTGTGTGCGTGCCTGTGTGCGTGTGTTTGTGGCTGTGCGTGGTGGCACTGTGTCTGTCTCTGCGAGAGTGTGTGCCAATGGATTTTCATTCAAACTTCATTAAGTTGGAAACGATGAAGGGAGGAAATTGCTGGCGCCATTGTCATTTGCACTGTCATTGCAGCCGAAACATTTCAGTGCCTAACCATTGTTGTTGCTACCCCCCCCCCCCCAACCATCCCATGGACAATAATGACCCGACAGTCATTTGTCAACATTTTTCAGAGACCAGAATTCCAGAATATCAGGACAAGAACCAGAACCAGGATCTGTAGCACCGCAACTAGGCCCAAGTTGGCGTAGGCTTTAAATGAGCGCGCTCATTAAGAAAATTAATGTTTGAGATTCATTAAAAGTGTCAAAGTGCGCACATTAAAAATATATAAAATGCCAAGGACTATTCCGGCCGGAGTGGAGTGGGAGGATTGGCGTAACGAAGCCAACGTCTTTGTCGTTGCCCGATTTTATTAACAAACAAAACATTAAAGGCTCATAAAATGTTGATACAGCACAGGGACCAGGGACCAGGGCACAGGGCCCGCAACAGTGCCAGCGCTACGATGGTGGATCCCAGGCTTTGTTCTTGGCTGCTCATAAAACTGTCTCATATTGACGGCTCAAGACATCCACATATGTATGTACATAAGTCTGTATATGTACATGCTCGTGCATGTATGTACATATATTGTATATCTTGTCGGGGCATCTCATAAAACTAAACCGCAATTCATCAGTAAATTCTTTTCTTCTATATTCTATTTTTGTTTTTTGGTCAGGTCTCCGTTGATCCGCTGGATGGATGTTTGAGAATATGCTACAGTTTTATGCGCTCATAAAATGCGTAAAAATTGTTTTTATTATAATTATTATGTTACGCATGGTGACAAGGCAAGTTTATTGCACTGACTCATAAAAGTGGAGACCTCTATGAAGTGATGATGCTGTCGAACTTTAGTTGCTTGTCGCTCACTCCCCCCAATGTAGCCATTGTAGCCATTGCCGTTGCCGTTGCCGTTGTCGTTGCTCGTTGCCGCTTATCTTTGCCACATTTATAATGGGAAATTATTTGAGATTTTCGCTTAACTTTCTGCCATTTAAAACAATGACAGTTGGGAGTTAACTGCGGAGTCAACAACCTTCTCTGCTGCAGCTCCAGCTGCAGCCTGGCCTTGGCTTTCCTGCTTCGAGGGGTTGCATGTCACGCACTGGCAAATGCTTAACGCTCCCCAGCACACTACACTACACTACACACACACAGCGAAACACAGAGAGAGGGAAATATAGAGGAACACACGCACACACATAGATAGAGAGATGCATAATGGCACTCTTACGTGCTGGCAGGACGAAGCGAAGGACGAGTCTCCAGTTAAAGTTTCTGGCTCATTAGTAGGATGCTTAAAATATATTAAATGTGTGCAAGTTGAGGGTCCTTCCACGGTCGGTTGAGCCACCGCTTAAAGCTCCATCAAGATAGTTCCAGCTATTATAGATATAAATTGCAGCCTCCCCCTTTCGCCTCCTCCTCTGCTGTGTTAATTTCCCAATCAGAGTCGCACGCATCGTATGCGTAATATGAGGCTGAGAAATGCTTCTATTGGTCGTGCTGCTGCTCCAGACACACCCTAGTCTAGCAATTGCAACAATCAATGTTTTATTGTTGTACAAATATGGAAGGAAAGGCGGAGTATGTGATGGGAAAACGTTGGGCTCGTGCCTCCCCATAAGCCACATACCACAAGCCACAAAGGCAGCAACTTAAAAGGCAATCGAAGGCAAAGCCGGAGAGCCCAGGGCTGACCAGACCAGAGTCGGGCCAAGGCAAATAAATGAACGCCGTAATTATTGCTGATGTCGACGCCGGAACGGGGCCAAAATGTCACGTACTGGCAATAAACCGCTGCTAATTTACGATGCCCCGGACTGGTCCCGGTCCAAGTCCAGGTCCAGGTCCAGGTCTTGGTCCTACTCCCTAGTCCGGACTTCTATGCCTGATCCAGCGGCATAACAAAAGGCAACGGAAGTCAAAAGGCAAACGGCAAACGCCTAAGCAGTTTGACCAACTTGAGAAGTTGCTGGCCGGACTACGGAATGTTTCACATTACGGCAGCTGCATAGAAATGGCCATCAAATTAAAGGCGGACCCATCGAAAATGCCAATAAGCAGAAGCAGAAGCAGAGGAGAGCCTAATGCGCATTAGCCGAAGGACATCGTGTCCGTGCCCCCACCGCCTGCATTAGCGATATTAAAATGGAGCAGATCTTGCATTGTTCAGATTTCCATTCGTTGTTTTGCATACATTAGACGGGCAGCAGCAGCCACAGCAGAATCACTGGTGCGGAACGAGCAGCAGATTTCCTCTTTTCCGTTAATTTTGAAAAATAATCTCGTTGAAAACTCGAAACTCAACAGGCAGCAAAGAGAGCCAGGGAACGGATGTTCTCTTAAATTGCTCGAGTGTAGACTTTCCACATGTTGTATAAGAGAGCGGAGAGAGCCGGCAAAAGCGCCTGCGTCACTCGGCAAAGTCTACACGAGAATCAGCTGCTTTCGTTTGTTCCTTCTACTTTAAACGGCCACATTGAAGCAGTTTGTCAATAGTTACGCTTGGGTATAGGTACCAGACGCGAAGCGACGCGACTCGTCTGCCCCCAGTTTAAAGCAATAAACAGATTCACTCAGACCAAGAACAATTTTGTTACCGAAATATTTGGATATATCAATAATGTATAGTATAGACTGAATATTTAAAAATATCGAGAACTACTCCACAAAAGCACATTTTAATACTCAACTGCAGTCTCAAGCTGAGAGTTCTTATTTTTTGTAATTTAATAATAAAAGTGAACGAAAAATCCCGCATAATTAGGACGCAAACAATAAAACCTACAAAATAGAAAAGATAAATATAATCAACAAACGAAACCCATACAAACAAAACTGCGAGACGGAGGAAGCTGTGTCATTGTGTGTCTTGTCCGTGTCTGTGTGTCAAGTGCGGTGTGAGAGACTCATCATCATCATCATCATCGTCATCCTCTCCGGGTCCGTCTCCGGCTTCGCAGCGTAGCTGTTGTCGTTGTCCGTGTCGTTGTCGTCATCGTTGGCGTTGTCACAACTCGGTATAAATATTCATTCTGAGGAATCTACCTGCGGCAAAGCGGCGCTAATGAAGCGAACGAAATGAAAATGAAAGGACATAATTATGCTTATGTGTGAGTATAATGAATATGAATTGTATTTGGCAATCCCCCACCGAGAAGGTCAGTCCCGGTGCAGGGCTGCAGAACGTTTCTGCAACGAGAACCCGCACAATGCCGCTTAAATATAAAAACACAAACTCTTTTATGTTCACATTAAATTGTTATATGTATGTGAAATTGCATTGAATCGCCTGAAAATACTTGTTATGGTCTGTTTATTTTTCGTTAGCCAGCATCAGGTAAGGGTAGGGACTGGTCACAGGCCGCAACTTCTTTCTGTTCTGTGCTATTTCTGGACGTTTTCCCTTTTGTGGATTTAATTTGATGTCTGGCATCGTCGGTTGGCCTGTTTGCCTCCTATTGGCCATTGTGCACTCGTCTAATGCGAAATTGCATTGCGACTGTCGACAATCGTTCTTGCAAAATCGTGGCACACAATTTGATTCGTTCCAAGGCTGACAGTCCCACAGCAGTGGTGCGATCCCAAAGGCGAGAGCAATTAGACTCCTGCATTAGGTTACAGAGTTCATTGTTACGGAAAGTTGGAGACTTGAGTGCAGATTGCTGTTCGATTGTCGGTGGTATCATCTTCCCTAAGTTTCGTCCTCTATCCCCACATGCAGACATTGTTTCGGCTCTCCAGCTAACTGCAGGCCAATTATACATACTAACATATGTACATACATAGATATGTATCATCTGACAGCTGTTCACTGATTTAGGTTACAGACTATTTCCCATTCCTGTTCTCGTCAGAGATGTATGTACGAACTTTCCTTCTAAGTGGAGCATTGTACGCGTCTTCAGTTCAGTACTCCACTCCGTTGCACTCCAGGCCAAGGCAATGTGGAACTGGAGATGGAATGGGATAGGCTATGATGATCAAAACGAAAAGTCTGCCAAAAGATTATGCTGACACAACGACAGCAGCAGAAGCAGCAGAAGCAGCACCAGCAATAGCAACAACAAAAGAGCCGAGCCAGTGCCAGCAGCAGACATTCAACAGAGCTTTTTGTATATTTATTAGAGTATGAATTAATTCAAGTATGAGTTCAGTACGTATGTGTGTGTGTGTATGTACATATGTATATGTGTGGTGTGTGCTCTGATATGTGAATGTTTGTGTGTGTGTTTGCATCTGTGAGCCTGTGTAAGGGGTAAGAGTTGAGCCTTTGGGGCAGATTCGTATAGGAAGCAACCGCAGCTCGACGCGATTTTGTTCTCTCCATCCGTTTCGACTATCCTATCCTATCCCCTAAAGCGAATTTTGTTGCCAACGTTGGCACATTTTCCATCCCACTTCGCCCTTTCCATAACCCCATTTTTTTCTAGGGGCACACCCTGGACCGTGTTTTCATCGAGTAAAATCGTGACACGAGAATATTTTCTAGCCATACGTGTTAGTACGGGTTGGAAACTGTATATTTTTCTGCCTTGTTGGTTCGTGCCGAAAAATGTCTGTCCATTACCATCTCTCATACATACCGAACTGTTTCGTGTAGAACAAAAGCAAAGAAAAATAGAAAAGAAATCGCTTTCATAATTAAAAACAGTAAGAAAGCTTCGGTTTGGAGTCACGAACTCAAGATACCACCTAAGCATATTCGATACTCTTTAGAGCCCTTTTTAATTTATGCAAATGAATCCACAAGCAATTCCAAGCTATATTCTTTAGAAGCTCTACAGATATACATTTACTTTTATAAGTGTGAGCAAAACTAGAATCAAGCAACGACAACGAAAAGAAAAGTAGAAACCGAAAAGGAAAGCGAAACCCCAGAGAAGGGAACCCCGAACATTTATAGTGCATTTATTAATAGCAAGACGACGAGGACTATGACTATGCTTTGGGCTAGGCGGGGTGGTGTGGTGGGATGGAGCGGATTACGATTACCTTGACTATGAAAATATTTCTCACACATGAGCTGCTTGGGCGCATTGCATCGCATCGCTTCGCTTCGCTTTTCCTTCATCCGCTTCCGACGCTCTTATTAGCATTTTTGCTAGTGTTTTCCGGGCCAAAACCAGCAACAGCTACAGCAACCACTGCGAGGGTTGTCTCACACGTTTGGCATGGGATGGGGTCGAATTCGCTGGAGTAAAATTTGCCCCACCCATGTGTCGTCCTTTGACGGTAATCCATCAAGCAACCTTCGCCGTTAGTCTGCCTCTCCGGGCAGGTGTTGGCCCGAGGGACTGTTTCAGACTGGTTGACGGCTTTCACCTGGGTTCCAGCCGCCGTGGGACACCTTGACACAGACAAAGGTCACCTAATGTGTTGCAGTCTGTATATAGTATGTATGTGTGTGTGTGTATGTGTCGGGCTCACAAAGGCCAAGTGCCAACACCTCAACGCCCGACCAGCCCCGTCGCCTTCTCTGTGTGTGTGTGTTTACTAGACAAGAATGGAAATTTGCAAGCTTTTCGCTTCTTTATTGCATTTTTTCTTCTTCTAAAGAACAAAAAACCATTTTTCGAGCGTTAAGCGGTGCGCTCTTTCTCCATCAAAAGATACAGAAACAATATTTACTAGTGAAGCGGTAGGAATCTCAGCTTTGATCACGCACATCACCGAGGCACGAGCTTTATTCCTGGAATAACAATTGAAAAGTGATCAGTTTGGCAGCTGAAAAGGGTACACAAAACAACTTGGTCGCACGATTTTATGATTAATTGATTGGTTAAACTCGAGGTAAACTGAGCGAATAGAGACGAAAATAATTTATCATGTTGCGAACTCAATTTGATGCACTTCTATAACATACAGTACAGTGGTTTCCAACTAGAAATGTATTTCCAGGTTATTTTGCTGGTTACATTATGAATTTCTCTATTCCACAATGCTTTCAGTTTATTCAAATTGTATAACATAAATATTAACTCATATCTTGGCTGGGCCAAAATTTGACCAACAATTTTTTTTTTTTTTCAAGGGGACACCCCCATCTCTGTTCTTTGTTATTCAATAAAATTAGACAATTTTTTCAAACTTTTAGTTTAATGTTTGGGGGTTGCTACCACGGAAAGAAAATAAAAATTTTTGTGTAAATATACATTTAAAAAAAATTGAATTCGCCGGTTTTTTCAAATAATATTGAAACTTAGAAACTAGTTCATATTGATAATAAGGTATTTTTATTTTTATTTAGTTACTGTTAAAAAATTAACGATTGGTGAAAAGTTCAACTGAGGTTGTTATATTTGGTTAACTAGTTCGCAAAACCTTGTGCAGGTTTTTTACTGCTAATAACTGATTAATGACGATATTTATGGTATCAATATATATGCAATAGATTTCAACAATTATCCAACTCATTCAGCAAAATTTTTTTTTTTTTAATTTCTTGGTTAAATTTTTTTTTTTAATTCGATAGCAACCTCTAAAAAATAAAAAAAAAATAAAAATAAAAACATGTAAATTACTATTAAATGCAAGGTAACAAAACAAGGGGGTGTCTCGTTTGAATTAAAAAATAAAATGTTTGGCCCAGCCTAATATGTATGTATGTACGTACATATATCTGCTATAAGGAAAATATATATCTTCAAGGGTATCAAAAGCTTCGGCCTCGTAAACAGACGAGAGTTCCCATTTTGTTTTGCTTCGGGGTTATTTTTTGTTTCGGCGCTTTTGATGTGCTGCTATTCATCTCTGACTCCCCCTATTGACTCTCGAACCGCCCTGTATTTTGCAGTTTACGTGTTAAGTGCTTGGCAAGCACGATTAAGGCGGTTTATCACCCGCAACAGCGGCAGCAACACAAGCGTCAAGCACGACATCAGCAGAGGCAACATCAGCGGCAACAGAGACAACAGCAACTGAAACAGCAACAGCTGCGCCGCCAGCAGCAGCAGGAACAAACGCGTTAGACATACACCAATACACATTGACACGCCCCAAGCAGAGTCACACAGATACACACTCACACATAGGCACATATACACACACACACGCACATATACATAATGCTGAAGGCAATGACAACACCAGCAATATTGTCAGCTGAATTCGTGGCTGCCGCTGCTGCTGCTGCTGCCATGGATGATGATGTCCCAACGAGCATTTTGGAAATAGAACTGCCTGCCATTTTGTTCAACGAGAGCCTCTTCATCGAGCTGAATGGCAATCTAACCCAGCTAGAGGACACGGCCGCCAATCTGAGTCAAATCATTTGGAATCGCAGCGATGCCAGTAGCAGTGGCAGTGGTAACGGCAACGGAAATGGAAGCCCCACCTTTGGTCTGGACGAGCAGCGGAGGGCTGCCAGCGAGCGGGAGGCGGCCGAGTTCTGGCTGCTAGTCAAGATGATCGCCATGGCCGTGGTGCTGGGCCTGATGATACTCGTCACCATTATAGGCAAGTACTTAATCAAAATCAAATCCAAATTTAAATTTTTCTTCCACCCAAACACACAAGGGTGAGCTGGCGGGGGAAGGCATTAAATTATTCTCAAATTTATGCCGCTGGGATAAGAAAAGGAAAGGCAAAGTTTCCATATCGCTGCCGAAGTGAACTGTAAATGAAGTGAAATTTATGATGCAGAAGATTTTTATTGCGCCCTCTTGGTGAATTTTTATTGATTTTTTGGAGCTTAAAAATATGATTTGCTGCCTCCTCTAGAGGAGCGGCTGACTGGCTGGCTGGCTGGCTGGCTGGCTGTTAGTGGCAGATGATATACGGTGGGAGGGAGTTCCTTATCCTGAGACGTTTAAGACCTCAACTGAGGTGGATGCTGCCTGGCACAAACAAAGTTCCCCAAATTATTTAGCTGTGGCACGTGAAAAGCTATTAAAAACGCGCCAAGGCGTCAAATGGAAATTACGGCAAACACACAGATGCTCGTACACTCGCACACAGATACGCAGAGAACATAAAACACAAACACACACACACACACAGACACTCACGCCAGAGATAGATAACAGTTTGTGTGCCTTTGGTAGATGCAACGTATCCGCAACGTAACATATCCTTGGCAAGGCATATGCAAATGCAGTTGCTGGCACAGGCCAAGCGACGACAAAACGTTTTGACAACCTGCAGTCAAGACCGAGCTGTCTCAGCTGCCATACATGGAGAGAAACGTAGAGGGAAGGGGTAACTGACGTGGTGTCACTTTGGTTCCTTTGGGGAGGTGTAGCAGAGAGGGTGCCACAGCGGCAATTACAATTTGCCAAGCTGCATGCGCTTAATCAAAGCCAGCAACGACGATGATAATGGTGACGATGACTCTAAGCAAGCTGCCAGACAGCTCTCATTTGCATCCCACAGAGAAGCAGCAGGAGCAAGAGAACGGTTATGAGACAAGTCCCGAGGCTAAGAGAGTGTCAGAGAGAAAGGGAGTGAGAGACAGGTGATGGCTTGCTTTCACATGCACCATTGCCAGCAATTAGGCAAATAACTAGAAACTCCTTTGATATGACGCTTCTGCCACTGACTGATTTTGTCTAGCTCCATTTATAGTGTTCCCTCTTGGCACACAAAACTTAATTACTCTCAGGACCACGGCCCAAAAATACACCCATAATGTAATCGAAACCTTAATGACCGATTTGGTGCATCATTTGTTGCATCAATTGATGCAGCACTTTCTGTCCCCGTTTATTACGAGAATTGCATGATTAAATCGTCTCTCTTTTGTGTCCACAGGCAATGTATTCGTAATTGCCGCCATTATACTGGAGAGAAACCTGCAGAATGTGGCCAATTATTTGGTTGCATCTCTGGCAGTTGCTGATTTATTTGTTGCCTGTCTTGTCATGCCGCTCGGCGCCGTCTACGAGGTAAGTGTCCATTGTCGCTTCCATTGTGGTGGTTGCACTAGCCTGATTACCCTAATGGAAGTCTGGGAGGGAAAAGCTTGCAAATGAAATTAGGCGCCAAAGAGTTGAGACTCTGCAGCAGTGCTCCATGGCTAATTGTTTCAATTGCATCATAACTGGCAGCAAACAATGTGCCATCGACTACTTGCGTTTTTCTTTTTCCGTAGATAAGCAATGGCTGGATATTGGGCCCGGAACTTTGTGACATTTGGACGTCTTGTGACGTACTTTGCTGCACAGCATCCATATTGCATCTGGTGGCCATTGCGGCGGACAGGTGAGTGTCAGAGTCGCCTTCCCCGGAGTGACGGAAAGCAATTTCGTTTGGTTTCCCTCACAGATATTGGACGGTGACCAACATTGACTATAACAATCTCCGGACCCCGCGGCGTGTCTTCATGATGATATTCTGCGTCTGGTTTGCCGCTCTGATTGTGTCCCTGGCACCGCAGTTTGGCTGGAAGGATCCGGACTACTTGAAGCGCATCGAGGAGCAGCACTGCATGGTGTCGCAGGATGTGGCCTATCAAGTAACAGATTTTAATAGCAGTAATCTCCAGTCATGGTCAATGACCTCCTTTCTGAATCACTTCCCTCTCTCTCTCTCTCTATCTCTCTGCTGCTGTTTCTCTTATAATCCATAGATATTTGCTACCTGTTGCACCTTCTATGTGCCGTTGCTGGTGATTCTATTTCTGTATTGGAAAATCTACATAATTGCCAGGAAGCGCATACAACGTCGCTCGCAAAAGCCCTTCAATGTGACGTTGACGGAAACGGATGTAAGTGCAATCAACAATCGATGACAGCGGGTACCGCCTCACCCTCCCCCACCCCCACCGCCACCTCCTCCTCATTTTTCAACCTACTTCTAATCCCATTGATAAATGTCAAGTGTCCACTTGTCCAGCCTCGTTGGAAGAAACAGTCGAAAAATTACTCATACGCCCGTTGTGCTTGCGTATAATGAAATTCTATTCAGGCGGGCGAATGCCTGGCTCTCCCCCCGTATTTTTGGAGGCTGGCCGAGTGGATGTTGATGCTGCTGCTGCTGCTTCAGAAGTGTATTTGCTTGCCTGCCATAATGAGTATGTCATTAGCAGAAACAATAATGCGAATGTGAATGGGCATGGGCAGGAGCGTGGCCGTGGGCGTGGGCGTGGGAAGCCCTTGGCTGCTCATTAGCATGCCCAAGTGAGCACCCAAGAGGCAAAAGCCAAGCAAATGCCAGCCGAGATTTATGATCATCCCAATGTGTGGGAAGTGCGTGGCATATGGAAAGTGCCAGCTGAAATAATTACGGGCATAGAAACTTGATTTGATCATACAAGCATTTCGTTGACAAGACACCAGCCAAATGCTGCTCAATGCTCTGCCAATAATTTGCCAAAGCACCTTTCACCGAGTCCATAAACAAAATAAGCCATAAATAAGTCGAGTACCAGCTTTTCCCACCTCTGTTCCCGATCTCATTTTCTCAGTGCGATTCGACAGTGCGTGAACTGAAGAAGGAGCGCGGCAAGCGGCGCGTGGCAGGGCGGAAACGTCAGGGGGCTGGCGAGGAAACATCCGCTGGCGGAACCGAGACGCAGGTGCAGCGGCGCACGCTTAAGCGGATGCGGATCTGCTTTGGCCGCAACACGAATACGGCCGGCATCTGTGCCGGGTCGGAGGGAGCCGTTGCGCGATCAATGGCCGCCATAGCCGTGGATTTTGCCAGCCTGGCCATCACGCGGGAGGAGACAGAGTTTAGCACCAGCAACTACGACAACAAGAGCCATGCGGGCACAGAGCTGACGACAGTCTCCAGTGACGCCGACGATGTAAGTGCGACTTAATTCGCGTGACGGGTGAGCAACCCACAAAGGCGCTAATTGTTTGCACACCTCTTTGTTCCACCTGACGGGGCATTTGCTTTTCTTTTTTACCCTCGCAGTACCGCACCAGCAATGCTAATGAAATCATCACGCTGTCGCAGCAGGTGGCCCATGCCACGCAGCATCATCAGATAGCCTCCCATCTGAATGCCATAACGCCGTTGGCCCAGTCCATTGCAATGGGCGCCAGCAACGTTAGCACACCCACGGCGGGCACTCGGACGGAGCAGGGCGTAGAAGCAATGGGCGAAGACAGCAGCCCTGGCAAGGGCGTTGGCGTAGGCATCGGCATGGGCACTGTACTATCCAGCATTGCCAATCCACATCAGAAGCTGGCCAAGCGGCGGCAGCTGCTGGAGGCAAAGCGAGAGCGCAAGGCCGCCCAGACACTGGCCATCATAACTGGCGCCTTTGTCATCTGCTGGCTGCCCTTCTTCGTAATGGCCCTGACAATGAGCCTGTGCAAGGAATGCGACATCCATCCGGCCATTGCATCGCTATTCCTCTGGCTGGGTTACTTCAACTCCACCCTGAATCCGGTACGTAAGTCAGGGCGAGAAGAACTTTTATTCCCAAACGATACTCGTATCACAATAGCACTCGGTACTACTGCACTGCTTTCTCTATCTGTTGTACGTATCTATTCCAAGGTCATTTATACCATTTTCAATCCGGAATTTCGACGAGCCTTCAAGCGCATTCTGTTTGGCCGTGGAAATGCGGCGAGGGCTCGCAGTGCGAAAATTTGATTTCAACTGAAGGCCAACGCGGACCAGTATCTATGATTAAGGTGAAACCCCAACAACAACAAAAAGTCTGGCAGAGCCATACTCGCGCTCTTGGGAGGAAGGAGAGGTCAGTATCGACATACTACGGAATTGGCAGTGTATTAGAGTCTAGCAAGTAGTAGATAAACGGTGTTTTAGCAGTGACAATCCAAACTAGTTGTAAAAATAAACTAAAAGATATTCCCTATCACACAAACACACACACACACACACACGTGCAGTAATCCGATGCGAATCGAAATTGTAGTCTTAAGTCAATGCTTCATAGAGGAAATATGATATGATGAAATTATTGTAGATGATACTTAGTACATGATATTGAGAATTATGTATATGCATATGATAGATATTTCTAAAGTCTTCCCTGTGTCTTAAAGAAACCCAAGCAAAGTAATGTTTAAATGTTAGAGCCCTAAGTAACTGAGTAGGTTGGAAAATGATATCGGATTAAGTTGTACACAAAGGCTGGGTCCAAGGAACTTACGCTTTCGTATTTCTGTGTTAGTTGAATGTGTTTCGCTGTAACCTAAGCATAATGCTCAATTATTTCAATCACAATATGTATACCTATACATTTTAGTCTAAGTGTATCATTGTGTGTGTGTACAGTATACAAGTCAATATCAAATTGTAACGAATTTACACGGCATACAAACTTAATCTAGTATTTGATCTCTCCCACGTATATTAATAAGACAAGATAAAATCAAAATTCACATGAAACTCAAAACACTCATAATCTGGCGGCACGGCTAATTGGGCTACGGGTAAGCAGCTGAAATTTAAATTAATTCCACAGAAATGCACTCAAGTGCAGGAGGAAAAGCTGAAACTTCTGTTGATATTCGTACCCGTAATACCTCGAAAATACCCCGCCTGACACACAGGCACTTGCACTTGTAAACCAAAACCACAGAACAGAAAAAGTTGTAAACCAGAACAGTTCTGGGTTGGATCAGTCCAGTCCTGAAATATGAGCTACAGTCAAACGCATACCATACGCATTCACATGTTCACATATAGTTGTATGTACATATGTATGTGGTATATTTATGGTAAAATTTTGGAAAAGTTTTCTTGCTAATAAATGGACTTACAGTTTTAGCAGATAGTCAACCAGAAACCACCCGGCAACAACTAAAGTAACACAAACATAGAATACAACAACTAATCGAGTATACATGTATGTACGTGTAGATGTGTGTATGTGCATCTTTACGAATTGGCTATTAAGTCAATGCTTTTCAGTTGAAACATAATATGCTTCAATGTGCAATATAAGTATTGGTACGAGTACATATATGTATATGTGTTTATATATATTTGTGAGTATATTTATTCAACTTCTCGATGTGTATTTGATGTCAAAGTTATTAAAATTGTGTTTTATCCAAAGCGGTTTGACTGCACTCAATATTTTATTCATGTTACTTTCAGATGGCAGTGGGACGGTATGGGATTGTGGGCTGCGGGGTTCCCTGTATATTGGACAGTGACATTGTTTATCCTCACGTCGAAATTGACAAAGTTTTCAACGCAAAGCCGGCCGCACGCACTTGCTTCTGGTTTGTATGTATTGTAGCTAAGCAAACTGCCAGCGCATTCAAATGTCAAAGTTCAAGTCCCACACACACACACACACACACACACACACACTTACACATCCTGCCTAGGCGTATAGGTGGAGTGGTTTCTGGGCGGGACAGTGGGGCTGGAGATGGATTACGCATACGCATTGGCATTATCAACACCGGAACAGGCAAAAGCCGACAAATGGCCCAGAATGGGCTGCAACAAAAATCGATACATCATGCAGAGCAGAACTCGGATTTCCTGGTATTCGTTTATTACATTTTTGTCTTTCCCTGGGCGGAGAGACTCTCCAATCAATCCGTCTTCCACCCGTGCCATTCACAGCTCTATTCTCGGAGGCCGCAGCTAAGCCTCTTAAGAGTGGCTTACTCCAGAGTCAACTAATTATCACATGCAGTGAGCATCAGGAATTTTGCGAATGAAAGGAATGCCATCAGGTGATACAAAGCTCTGGCCTCAGTAAATCTTTACATTCTCACTCTCGTGCCTTCTGGCTTATGAAACGCACACATGCATGGGTACTACATATATGCACACATACATATATATCTGTATAGAATATTATTTGCCAACACTTTTAATTTCCTGCTGGCCCCAGGGGCTTCCGCATAAGAAAAGCAGTCACAGGAATAACATTATTTGGCTCCAACAAAAAAATGCATACAAAATTTGAATAGAAAAGTTTTTGGTATAATGAAAAATTAGATACATATTTATGTACATATGTACATACCATCTTGAGCAGTTAGGGTATGTAAAGAGCAATATTACAACCACTTGGAAAGGTTTTTAAATGAAGCAGGAGTCGAGTCGTCGAGTCGTCGAGTCATCCCGAGGGAGTATCGCAATTGTGTCACATCATTGATATCCCAGCATGCACGATACATACATACATACATATGTAGACATGAGTGCCTGCCTTTATTAGCCTAGTAGCATTATTAATTTCCTCTCTGGCACACAGCAAAGGCAATAGCTGCAGGATAATGCCAATAAAATTCGTTATATTAAAAAATTCTTTAGCCAACAAAATTCCATAAATCGAATAAATATCGAGTGGCACTCCACCACGGGGGCTTGGCCCTCCGAGAGGCAGAGCAGAAATTATCCCTCATGAGTGTAGGAGTGGAGGAGTGGAGGAGACAGGAGCCGATAGAAGAACCCAATCCTGGTTGGTTTGTTTGCTTTGGCATCAATTTTTGAAGGCTTCTTGAGCCACACGAAGCGAACTTTTGGGCAAGCAATTCAAAAGGTATTAAAAGTATTAAAACCGAAATGAGTGTGGCCAAGCATCTATCAGATGATGCCCCAGCCAGCATCTACTCGTAAGTCTCTCTCTATGTGTGTGTTTGATGGTAACTTTTAATTGAATTGCATCGGATGTGTGCAAATTGCTTGAAATGATTAAGGGCTTATGGCATGAGTGTTGACTAGCATCGAAGAAGCGCACAAGCAGCTCTGTTAGCCGTTGTCCGGCACACGTTAAGGTACTTATAAACCAGTTGAAGCAGTGCTCTGTTCATTAAAGCGCCTCAGGTAGGACAACTCGTAGAAGCGCGTTACTGGAACAGAGTTAAACAGAATGGGACAGGGAAGTAAAGTCTGAGAAATATACAAGTACCTTAAATATTTATAGCTTAAGTAAGAGGAGGATGCGATGGTGGCAACAAACTCATTGCGAAGTTGTTGACACCGCTCTCCCCTGGCCAATGGACAATGGACAGGTCCGAGCACAAAAGGAGACAGCACTCTCCGTCCTCGACAGTTCGACTTTGTAAAGACTTTTCGCAAATTGCGGCCAAGTGCACTTTTCGTTGCCTTCGAATCTGCGGCAGCGCATTGTGGTGAATTTTGCTACAAGCGAACTGACGGGTCCAACAGAGTGAGTCCGAGCGGAGATCCTGACGGACACAGCAAAAGTGTGGAGTGGCATGACAGGGCGTGGGGCAGATTGATGCCCATCTGAACTAATTACAAAATAATTTAAATTATTATGTAAACTGAGCACAGGAAATTTAAAGTTCCTACCGAGCTGAAGTCCAGTCTTAGGTTTCAGCGAATGAAAGCCAGTTGTGGCTGGGAAATTTCTCCGGTCCATTCTGCACCTCGAGAGCACCCATTCCGAAAAGATTTGCTGGACCAAACTGTGCACTTTTTGTGCTGATATCGCTGGAGGAGATTTGAGGCAAGTTTGTTTCAAGTCTGCTATCGTGTCTGTGCAGCTTATTCTTTTGGCCAGCAGCTTTGAGCGCTGACAACTAGCGCAAAATGCCAAAAAGGACACGTACGTAATGAACACAAACACGTACGAAGCACCAGCGACAACGTTCGAGGACAGATACGACCATGCTTAAAGTTTCAGCTCCCAAAGTTGTTGCAACCAGCACAGATGAGTCGGGGCCCAGCCCCTGGCTAAGAATGAAAAAAAAAAAACAACAAGCTCAAACTTGCTGCCAAAGTTTCCCGTTGCAGCCGCTCGAAGGGTGTCCAGGCGTTGTTCAGCAATGGCTGAAGTAGAGCTATGGCTGAGGGTGAGGTCTTGGCTGAGTTTTTGGGTGGATGTGCAGCCGGCGTGACGCTCAACGCATAGCGGAAGTTGCCACCGCCCATCGTCCTTCCACCCTCTTCCGACTGCCGACTGTTGCATTTTCGGCACTACCATGCTCGGAGCTAGGAAGCACTTGCCATGTAGCTGTTGTTGTTGTTGTTGCTGTTGCTCTTGTTGCAAGTTACAAGTGCCGTTTGCTTAATTTTTATGCACATGCAGCTGTGTGCGTCAGAGTGTGTGTGTATGCGAGACTGTGCTCTCTGAGAGTGTGTTTGTGTAGTGCAGTTATTGCTCTTGTTGGTTTTCTGCATATTTACTTGGTGGCGGAAGGAGCAACGGCAGTGGCAGGGGCTGGAGCAGACACTGGGAAATAGGGAAAAACACTTGCGTAAACGAGGCTTGGGCTCGGCCAAGTTTTTGCACAGTCGAAGGGAAAAGTTTTCACACAGCCGCACGGCCTTGGGCAAGTTCAGACACTGACATTGTGACTTCCTAGCCGCCGTGCCAGTCGCACACAGTCACGATAAATGAACATGAAATTGAAATTTAATGTACCCTCATCATCAGCAGCGGCACAAACAGCAACATCTGCACTCGGGATGATTTGCATATGGGAGAGCAGAGGAGGTGGAGCCCCCGAGTCCCAGAGAGAGAGTCGGAATCTGAAATTGGCCACAATGCACTCTGGTGCCACTGGTGCCACTGGTGCGACTGGAGCCATGTGGATTCAATAACAAATGCCAGCCAAAAGCGCATAGAGATTACAGCCGAGTATATACGTGGATTTGCCCAGGGAGCACAAGCGACTCGAGGAGTTAGAGAACCTTTTTCGAATCCCAACATGATCATGATGGCCCCTTAGCGAGCGACTGCAATCAGAGCTCCCTTTGGCGGTGGCCCTGTGGCCAAGCCCAAGCCCAAGCAATATGGGCATGATCTCATGGCAGATAATGGCCGGCCAACCA